CTCTGTACTTATTACCGGAAGTTCGTGAAGGACTTTGCAAACTATAGCTGCTCCACTACATGATTTGACTAAAAAAGGCCAGAAGTTTAATGGACAGTTTCTTGCCTAAGTTGTTTTCTCCATGGGAAGACTTATATGACATAGTGGATCATCTCTCAGATGTGACTTTCCAGATAAAATGTGGTCAGCGAGGTTAGCCAAAGGTGGTGCATGCCAACAAGCTTTGGCATTATCACGGTCCAGGGCATTTCAGTTGGGATGAAGTGAACAATGGAACAAATGACGCTGCTGAAGACGTGTCACCTGAAAAAGCTACTGTCGAAGAAGAAACTCTACTCGGTTCTGAGAAGGGAAACGGTGAAGCCCTTGATGAAGTTACTACCACTGATGTGACTGTTATCAATGATAGGACGTTTCCTGATGAAGCAGATAAACCCCACATGAAGCAGAAGCCAACGCAACCGAGACCAATACGGAAGAAGATACGTCCGTAAAATTAAGAGACTTTGTTGAATTTTAATTTTGTGTTTGTATATTCTGTACATTTAATTAAGTTATTGTTAATTGTTTATTGGTTTAATGTAAGTGGCTATTGTTCGGGGCGAACAATATTAAGGAAGGGGCAGTGTTACGACAGCGGAAGTCACGTGACGCTAAGAACATGTCATGAGCTTTTAGAAAATTCATGTCCCTTCGTGAAGCCTCGAGTGTTTACTAGATGTGTGGTATTCTTCTATATAAGACCACCAAGAAGTGACGGCAACAATAGAATTGAATTGCAGACAGAGATAGAGACGACAATTGAGTCAAGCGCGTGAATCGTTCGTTCAGTGTTGTGAATTATTGCGTTTGTTTAAGTTATAGCGTGACTGTGGAAATTAAGTGCATTGCAAAGTTGTATTGAGAAAGAATAAACTAGTTTTATTTAAGAAATGACTTGTATCGCTAAAGTTTTTCGGAAAGAATTTTTACGGAAAATTAACAAACGAACAGAGACATAACAATATTATGTCATGTTGTTTCTAACTACCATGGTTCCCTTTACAGATAAAGGTACAGGACAGATAGATTATTCGGCGTCAATCCTGTGAAAGTGGGTTATCTATGCACATCCAAATTCACTAGGCAATAATCTGGCAGCTTTAATTCAAATAATACTAAAATATAACCATAATACAGTTTACGGTCCTCCATCGATATGAGGTGAGCAAAGAATAAGGATATGAGGTAACACATTTTTAGTAGAATTATAAGCATACTTTTCCCTTGAAATATAGTATATATAGCATGGAATAACTTTCCAAATGTGTCCACATATGCCATACCAGTTTCATAATAACGTATTAAAATAGCAATAACTAAAAATTAAAATACACATAACAACAGTGGCCTTTGTTTGGTTTCGTACTAAATATACGATCTAACTGATTTCTCTTTGGTGTTTCTTGGAGGCATGAATGTTTGTGGTCTCATTACATCTATCACATGCGGGGATGAGAGTGGGGAGAAGGGGCGAGTGCCATTTCAATTTGAATAGTTTTAAGAAACATTCACTCGCCAATTCTTTATTATGTTTTTATCTTCCATAACATTTATCAAAGTTAGGCGCATGTGACGTGGGATCATGAGGATGCTTGCATAAAAGGCTTCATCTAGTATCACCAATAAGATTAGCCGCATACAAAAAAATTGTTTAGGAAGATGATGTATCATGTGTGACATGTTCATGATTCGATTTTCCTCGATCATAGAAAGCGACTTGCGAGTTTCACTTTCTGTTAATTTAACCTTTCATTCATAGCAGTTTTACTGATGGTGAAACTTGTGTGGCTCACTTTTTTCACATTTCCTAGTGTCCTTTTTTTTTTTAATTTGCAAAACGTAACAAAACAGCCATTTTCCTCCTGCATTTCTTATGCCAAGAGTCAATATTGGCCATATTGATATTTCCTGTTTGTACCGAAAATGGCCGAATTCAGTTGTGGAGATGCAACAAATTTAAGACTGAGAAATCAGAAAAGCTCTGCTGCAGAACCAACTCAGGATAGGGATAGCGAGAAACAGTTTTCAAGAAAAAGTAATGAAGCATCTCTTTGCAACATTGATCGCGGGTCATACTGGTTGACAAGAATCGTAATCCTCCGGTATTTGGGATTTATTTATAGTAAGTAGGTCTTCACTGCGGTTTTGTAATTAATAATGACTCGTAAGTTGTAAGTGTGCGGTTTAGAATAATGTTAGCCCTGAATATTTAATACTAATAATACTTCAATTAATAGAGTTGATGGGAAGTGTTTATATTCTAAAGTTTGTAGACTAAAAGTAAAAAAAAAAAAAAGAAGTAATCCTTGAAGTTAATAAAACTAAAAAGTATAGCTTCAAAGAGAATGTATAGTGTATAATTATATAAACAAATATTAATAATAATAAAGCCATTAATTGTGGGTTAGTATGACAATAACTGTAAGTATAAACTATTATTATTATTAATAAAAGTATAATTTAGTAAGTTAGTGATAAAATTTCAGGCCCAGGCACATTTCACGTTAAACATTAATCATACACTGTTTGTGATAAATTACTTGTGTTGGCTAGAACACTTTTTTTTCTTTTTCATTTGTGTGGATAATAGCGAGTAATTCCAGGAATGGAAAAAATATGTGATGAAATGAATACAGTGGAGGATGAACATTTATGATTCAATTTCACACATTGTAACTTGTAATGAAGTAGTATCATATTTACTTTTGCAAATGAGAGGCTATATCAACACAACACTATGCCTGATAAATTTGAATAGATAAATGCTAATAAAGTCTTGGTATGTAAGGATCTGCTGTTCTGCATTAAACAATACAATACTTAAATTTTGAAAATGGCATCAAACTTTCAAGAGATAATTGGTAAGACTTAACATTGTACAGCTTTGCAATTATATCTGGGTTGTACTACTGTGTAGGTAAGCATGCACATACAAAATGTTCTAGTTAAACTATTTGAGTAGTAATTTTACATGTCAGTAAATGAATAAAGTCCAGTTATGTTTATTGTCCATTCTTATAAGTATGTTATTGACTGTTATTGATTGAGGGTTAACATTTCTAACAGGGTGGTTGGCCTATGGTTTGTCTTCAGATATGGTGGATTGGTAGGTGCAGTAAATTTAAGGGGAGATTCCATAAATATTAAGTAATCAAAGTTAGATTTAAGTTTTTTTTTTTCTTAAGTAACCCTTTGTTGTTCCATAAATGTCATCATTTGAAAAAAAAAAATTAATTTATTACATAAATGGTTTGAAAAATGGTTCTTTCCTAACTCCCGGTGGTGTGTGGTATGCTACTTTTGGATAGTGAACTCTGTTTTTGTCAGTAGCTTATCAGGATAGTAGCTTTCAAGAATCAAATCTGCACTGTCCATGGTTGCTTCATTTATCACGCTTTGTGATAACTCTGACATTAACTTGATTATGCCAAACCTGAATGTTTATGTATAAACATATTGATTACAAGTTTAAAACATATAATTATCTCTCTACAATTCACTTGTTAACTTCAGTTGATGTTGTGTGCAGCTTCTGGTCTTATCTAAGAAGGAATATTTACTTACTGAAAAAAGTTCAGAGGAGAGCTACTAGGATGATTTTAGTGATTGAAGGATTATCTGTAGAGCAAGTTAAAGATTTCTTAATTTATTTTCTCCTGAGGAAAGACAGGTAAAAGTAAGAGATGACCTTGTTGAAGTTTACAAGATTATCTGAAGAATCAATGGTATAAAGACTTCTGATTTCTTTGTGCTACGTTTTGAGGAAAATAAGATGAAAGGACACAAATTTAAGACGTGGAAACGAGTGACTAAACTAAGACATTTATTTTTTTTAACAGGGTAATTAACTTATGGAATGAATTTCATTTGCAGTTGTGGAGCTTGGTACTTTACAAGAGTTTAAGATGGGTATAAATAATTTCCTGAAAATAAATAAAAGGTAAATGTAAATTTGTACTTCAGAGGTGGATGTACAGGGACAACTTTGAAGGGCCAAGTACTTCCTTGTAAAATGTGGAAGTTTTGATGATATATTTGAGGGTAGGAAGTGACATAAAATTCATGCTGGAAATAAATCGGAATAATATTATTTTAATGAAATAAAATTGATGTGTACCTGCAGCTATTGATATCTTAATTTTTGTGCATGTATCTTTTACTAATTTATTTTTAAGAAAGAGTTTAGAGAGAATTATTGAAATGAAAAACTTGTTTCTTTTCACTTTGGTTTTTTAATATCCCTTTTTATGTTTAAAAGTGGAAATTGACTGACATTAATCATTTTTAATATCAGTTTGTTAGTTTTGTTATGGTCTCTTAGCTTTTGTGTAAGGTAGTTTAGATTGCAAGGTTTAACCTGTAACATTTTGAAATGTACCTTGTGTTACATTCTAACCATTAAAATGTGACTGAAACCAGGGTTTTAAAGGAGGTCAAAGCTCAGGTATCTGAACCACTCTCTTTCATTCCTGATAGGTCAACTGAGAGTAGAGATGTCTGAGATTTGAGAATTTATGTTACTCCTATTTTTGGAGGGGTGATAATAGTTGTCTTGGAAGTTATAGACCAGTTAGTCTTATTCGTATAGTGGGAAAAATTCTAGATAGTCTAATAAAAGAAGCTTTACAAAACCATTTAGTGAAGTGTAATATTATAGTTGAAAATTAACATGGATTTATCAAAGAGAAATCTTGCCTTACTAATCCATTAAGTTTTTTCAAGGACAGTACTTGTTATCTGAATGAGGGAAAGGATGTGGGCTAGATTGGTTACATTTTAAAAAAGCTTTTGATAAGGCATTACACAAAAGATTAGTTAAGAAAATCACATTGGTAAGGGGTTGGGGAAAGACTAGTTAATTAGATTGTAGTGGTTGGATGGGAGAAAGCAAAAGGTTTTTATTAATGGAGTCCAGTCAAACTGGACCCTTATTACTAGTGAAGTACTTCAAGGGCTAGTACTTGGGTCTTTGCTCTTTCTTATTTACATTAATTATGTTGATAGAGCTATAATTAGTAAATTGGTAAAGTTTTCTGATGACATAAAACTTGTGAGTATTTCTAGCTGTATTGAGGATGGTGATGTACTTGAAAAATGACTTGGAGCAGTTGGTAATTTGAACAAATACTTGGTAAATGTAACTTAATTATAGAAAGTGTAAGGTAATGTGCTTTGATTATTATAATTTGGATCACACTATTAATATAGATGGGAAACTACTCAATAGCATGACTGAAGAAAATCATCTGAGCACAGTTGTGGATAATAAGTCACTCAAGTTGTTGAAGCGGTGCTCTGTTGTTAATATTAAAGGCAACAGAATTTCAGAACGTAGTTATAGACATATTGATTTGAAATCAAAAGAGGTAATTTCTCTCTATACATATCGCCAGTTAAGCCTTACTTCGAATACCATGTATGGTTACTTACAGTCAGTTGCTCTGTAACATGTTGTCTTTAGACCTTATATTTTGTTCTGGTTGATTACTCTTTAACATGTCCATTCAGAAGATGATGCTTAGTTTATGTTCATTACTTTTTCACAAGTACACATAGAAGATAATGCTTAGTTATGGTTAATTATTCCTTGCCATGTACACATCCAGGTTAATGTTTATTTCTGGTTCTTACTCCTTAACGTGTCTACATAGAAACTAATGTTTTGATATAGTACATTACTACTTAACCCTCTCTCCACAGGCATCTTTTTCTTTGGATGTCATGAGGTTTTAGTGAGTTACATTCAAAATTTAATTAAATTACTTTCTTTTCATGGTATACTAATAAATATAGCATAGAAATGAAGCTAATAATCCATATTTTAATTGTATATAAGTTTTAATTTCTTACTTTTATATGGCAATATTAAAAATCCTAAATTACCCTTAGTAGGAGAATTGTGACTTTTTTTTCTCTCTAGGCATTCACTCTTCTCCAATTTATTTACCACCCCTCCAAGAAGTACAAAATTTAATGTAAATTACTCATTATAAGCAAAATTTTAATAGCCTTCAATCTTATTTAGTTACAGAGCTATTGAACAGACAAGCAGAACACTCTTGCCACACTCACCTGTCACATCCTCTTTTTCAGAAATTATCAAAAGTCCTTTCTTACATTTAATACCACATTATTTATAACCAGTAGAAAGCCAAGGTTTTCATCTATCAAATGATGTATTATGTTGTTTTCTGTACAGAGAATTTTTTATTTCGCTTCCAGTTCAAACTTTATTCACACAGGAAACACATCAATGAACTAAGCTAAATTTTTAATGGCTCTTGTGGCTTAGTTAGAAAGCTAGAAAAATTGTGATAGTTATGGGACATTATTTGCTATTTGCATGTTATTATTCTGTGTTCTTTGGTAGATTGATTAATTAAATAAATTTGGTGCAGTACTACCACTAGTATAAAAAAGAAAGTGGGTTAAGTGTCATCGACATTCAACAGCAAAAAAAAATAAAGATCCAGGTAAATACTTTATATCTGTTTTTCATGTGTATTCTTTATTTATTATTATAGAAGTAACAAAATGTAAAAATAAAAACTTTTTTAAGTTAGTTAAGATTAGATTAGGTGAAATAAATAATAATAATATGATAAAACATTTTCACAAGGTACACTTGCGAGCAGCTTATGCTTAATGTAATTTGATAGTGTAACATGAACTGTACGTATGCCAAGTGAGTTACAACTTGTAATGGTAAAAATAATAGTTACACTCAGTTCAAAGGGCAACAAAACAGTAAAAATTAAGCCTATATTGATGTATACTGTTATGATTTTAAAGCTATTTAGGATAAGCAAATGTAGTTTCATGTTACAATTTAAAGTCATTCTAGAAAGAAAGAAATGGTAATTTGGATTTATTTAAATTTTTTTGCTGGTTACAAGGTTGGTCAAATATACTAACCTTGTATAAAGTTATGTTGGAGAAAATAACAATAAAATATAAAGTTTACTGAAAAAAAGAAAAGTTTAAAATATTTAGGAGGTTCTAGAGATTACCCAAATGAAAAGTCTGTTTTTTCGTATACAAGGAACTTGTATATTAAAAATTCTTAAAAGTTATAGTATGAAAACTATAATGAGTACAAAATGGTTATGAGATTGGTCAAAT